GGAACATTAGCTTGGGAAAAGCCAGGGTCGAGCTTACAGGCTCAGTAAATTGTATTTCTGGTGGATTTCAGCAACATTAACTTGGGAAAAGCCAGGGTTAAACGTTGGCTTGGGAAAAGCCAAGACTGGGGCATTCAGTGCTAGGGGATGATCTCAGTTTAAGCATTTTGTATTCCCTTGTAATCTGGTTAAAATTTAAGAAAGCAGATACTAAAATACTCCAGTGCTTATTGTACATAAATGACTGAACTGAATGACTGAAAAACCCGAGGTTTATTGAAAATAAATGATGGCACACATTGAGTGACTGGGATAGCACCAAAACCACCTGAAATAGTCATCTCGTTACCAACAGGTCCAGCTTTTGACATTTGGCCTTGAGTTTGTGGGTTTAACTTGGATTTTAGGAACTTTTTCTTCTCACAGCGAGAGGGGCTCAGGCACTGGCACCAACGGCCCGGGGCAGCGGCGGAGCCCCCGTCCCCGGAGGGATGCAGGATGCGGGGCACGGGTGGGCAGCAGGCTTGGCGGCGTGCTCGAGGGGAAATGGCCGGGCTCGGTGGATTTTGAGGGGGTTTCCCAACACGGGCCATACCGGGATGGACGGCGCGCGCGCGGCGGGAAACGGCGGCGCGCGGGGGGGGTGGCCCCGCCCCGCTGTGGGCGTGGCCTGGGCGGGTGCTGAGTCACGCCGGGCCAGCAGAAGGGCGCCGGGACGCCCCGCGCCTTCGTGGGGGCGTGGCCTGGCGCGGCGCCGTATAAAAGGCGCGTCGGCGGGCGGGCTCCCCTCACAGCGCGTCGGCGGCGGAGCGAAGCGGGTTCCTGCGTCAACAGTGCTTGGACGGAACCGGCCGCGCTCGGGCCCGCTGCCACCCCTTTCCAACACCGCCGTGTATACAGTCACCGGAGCAGCTCAGCCATGGCAGCGCCCCCCTCTCAGGTGCGCCAGAACTACCACCAGGACTGCGAGGCCGCCGTCAACCGCCAGATCAACCTGGAGCTCTACGCGTCCTACGTGTACCTCAGCATGGTGAGGGCGCGGGCGCGGCGGGGTGAGGGAAGGGTCCTGCGAGGGATAAAGGGGCTGCACGAGGGCCTTGCTCGGCGGGGGGTTCCTGGGTGCTGGGCGGTGCCTGCGCGCCCAGCTCCTCCTCCTCCTCCTCTTTCTCCGCCTCCTCCCCCCCGCTGCCTTCAGGCCCGTCTGGGCTGTCCCCTGGGTGTAGGTGAGGCCCTTTTATCTCGCCTGCTCCGCGGGCCCCGCGGCCGTTGCCCTTGGCGGCTCTGTTATCAGCCGCGCTCAGCGCCTTTGCCCTTGGGGCCGGGCAGGGGAGCGGGAGGTGCCTAACGAGGCTCTTGGCACCTTTCCCGCAGGCGTGCTCGCCTCCCAGGCTCGGGTTTTCCTCCAGGAATCGGTAGGAATCTGTGGTTTCTTTGGGCTCTCTGTTTACATGTCTCCTTTAGCCCGAGGCGCCCATTATAGCCATTCCCTGACCTCTGTGCAGCAATCCTGGTGCTTTGGGCGTGCTGGGACATTGAGGCTTCCTAGGGACACTGTGCTGTGTTGTGGCACGTATTTTGTAGCTGTTTTTCTGTGTTAATTAGATTCTAAGCCCTGTTTTGAGCTTCTCTTGGTGGGTGATAGTGGTACACAAGCGCCGGTGCTTTGCCTCGAGCCTCGAGGCCGCTGGTCTAAGAGCAGAGAGTAATGTAGTAGGTTGGTAAATAATTGGCAGTTCATACAGAACTTTCCATTGAATCCTGGTAATGGTTCTGACCAAGGAATAAACAAGCTGTGTCACGGCTTCTAACTGCAGTAACAGTAACTGCTTTCAGAAAAGTAGCTTAATTCATATTTTAGTTGCTGTTAAATTAATATTGTAGTTCAGCTTATCTCTTGTATTTTAAGTGTCACTTTTGTTTCCCCGCAGAATAGTAGAAAGTGTTTTCCTTAGTCTAAACCCTGGAAAGCCCAGTGAAGCAAGAGAGCTTTATTGCAGGAGTACCTAAAAGTTCTTGGCTCACCTTTACGTGATGTTGCAAGTCATGACCCTGACTTGCTATGTCGTCATTGTAAACAAGCTCAGGCAAACAAAGGGAAGATTTCTCCTTGGAAAAGGCCTTTCAAGGCTGCAGTTTAATGGTGCTCAGAACAGATATGAGTGGGGTTTCAGGTTTTTTTGGTTTTGTGTTTTTAGAACTGAGTCAAGGACACAAACACCATTTTGTGTCCTTGGTAGGGGTGCAGGTTAAAATTTAATCCTAGCTGGAAAAATCAAATTATACTAAGAGGAGAATTGTTCCACACTGCCTTTCTGGCCTGGGCTTGGACTGCAGCCATCCTGAAGCAGAGGTTTAGAGCCTGTGAACTCTTTTTTTTATTTTTCAGTCCTACTACTTTGACCGGGATGATGTGGCTCTGAAAAACTTTGCCAAGTACTTCCTGCATCAGTCCCACGAGGAGCGGGAGCACGCTGAGAAGCTGATGAAGCTGCAGAACCAGAGAGGCGGGCGCATCTTCCTGCAGGATGTCAAGGTGAGCTGGGGGCTGCCTTCAGCTGGAAGGGGATGAATTTTCCTCTGGCTCCTCCCCAGAAGGAGCAGCAGCTGGCTCTGGAGAGGCACAGTAATTTGACATGTGGAGCAGTTGGATTATTTGTGCTGATTGACTAATAAAAAAGTGCTGCTTGTGTAAGGAGAGGGTGCTGAGCCCCGGGTTGTTTGCTGTGGGGTGAGGGCAGAGCCAGAAGGCAACTGGTTCATCACCATCATTAAACTTAACACAGAGCAGATGTGCTCTGTGCACTGTTTTGAGAAGTGGGACTTAAGGGTTTGCTCAGTTCTGTTCTGAGGGTGCACTTCAAACTTTTGACTTTGCATAAATGCCTAAACTTGGTTTAGGCTTTGTGAGTGATCTAAAGGCTCTCCACCCTGCTGGTCTGTGGGTTCTTACAGAAAACATGTCCTGTGCTTTCCCTTTTCAGAAGCCAGACCGTGATGACTGGGAGAATGGCCTGACTGCCATGGAGTGTGCCCTGCACCTGGAGAAAAACGTGAACCAATCACTGCTAGAGCTGCACAAATTGGCAACCGAAAAGAACGACCCACACGTAAGTGCATGCTGAGGATCAGCGTGGCTGTCCAAGGGTGTGTCTTGTAACTGTGTGGCTTTGGGGCTGAGCTGTGTCCCTGGTGTTGTAAAAGCTGTGAGCCAGGAGTGCAGCCCTTCCAGAGTTTGGTGGGGTTATTGCTGTCCTTCCAGGAGCATTTCTAAAGTGACAGGGACTTGCTTTATTCCCCCTGAAGTGTCTGTGAGCAGTCTCTATGGAGACCATTTCTGAGGGGGTTGAGTTCCATCTTTTTAAGGCTTTTTGTCATGACGGTTTTTTTGCCACAAAATTCTAGAGTTGCTTTGGAATATTAAAAGCTCTGGTGTTTCAGAACAGTGTCTGTAAATACAGAATTCTTTTCAGATGGAAGTTCTTGGCAAGGCTGGATTGAGGTTACTTAATATCAGGAAGAGATTAATACATGTGGGATCCAAGCACTCTTGGGAGTGTCCTGCCTAAGTTAGAATGACTTCTTGAAACAAAACCAGTGGTGTGAATCCTCACTGCTGTGAGTTTGCTGTGCAGTGAGGGTGTCTCAGATCTGTTCAGGAGCTTGGCTCATGCTTCCTGCCGTGAGGAAGAGGAGAGGCTTCCTGAGCTGCCTGGCTCTGCAGGGTTCTGGAGCAAGTGAGCCTACCTAAGCCTGGCTCACTTTGATCTTGTTCTGCAATAAAACTAGAGGCTGCTTCCTCTCAGCTTGAAAATTCTGCATCCTCTCCTTTCCTTAGAGAGCCTCAGTAGGGTTTCGGGCCTGAATTCAAACCTCTGGTCTCCCTTTCAGTTGTGTGACTTCATTGAGACCCATTACCTGGATGAGCAGGTGAAAGCCATCAAGGAGCTGGGTGACCACGTGACCAACCTGCGCAAGATGGGGGCCCCCAAATACGGCATGGCAGAGTATCTCTTCGACAAGCACACCCTCGGGGAGTGTCACAGCTGAAGCCTTGCCAAGAGCCATGCTGTGGGTTTCACTGGGACTCCTTCTTACTGTCCAGCCGTGCATGCAGCTTCAGCTACCTAGATAAACAGTTCCATACTCTGTACCAAATATCCCCTGTTCTGTTCATGTTTTATGTACTGCCCTCCAGCCAATAAAGTGACTTGGTTCCAGCTGGCTTTTCCTGTTTAGTTTGGAGGGAGAGTAGGCAGCTGTAGTGAAGGCAGTGGGAGGTAAATCTGTTGTGTGACATGGGGGATTTGCAGCGGCTGCTGAAGGCAGAAGTAGGAAAACCTCTGTTGTTTCTTTAAATTCCTTGCAGGGAACTAAAATGAGGAAATGAAACCAAGGTCCTGGGCTTGAGCCTCGCTTTTTATTTTCTGAGGGTGGGCAGTAAAAATCAGCTGAGTGATGTCTGCTGCCATCCAGCTTTCTCTGAGCACTGTCAAATTCCTGGTGGGAGATGTGGAACTTCAGAAGGAAGCAATGTGCTGGGCAGATGCCTGTGCTGGCAAGCCCTTACCTTGCCTTATCCCAGTACTGGAAAACACTAGCCAGACAGGACTGGAAGAAACACTGTGGGTCTGCATCACAAGTGATGGGACTTTCTTCAGTCCCTTACTTTTCCCTGGACTATCTTGTTAGGAGTGCAAGTCCTGCTTGAGAAAGGACTCAAGTTCTCATTCTTGCTGTGAGGAGGAGGGTGGTATCCATGTTAACTGTGCTCCTGTTCTGGGGTACACCTGGCTGGTCAGGCTGGTACCTGCAATATTTAACACTCAAAGTCTTGTTCTTTTGCTACAGGTCGGGTTTTTTGGGTGCTTCTGTTCCTGTTGCAACATGAGTTGTGTCTCATGCTGCTGCTGTAGCTGAGGCCAGGAGCAGTGTGTCCTTAGTGCTGGTTTCAGCCCAAGCTGAGCTCCAGCTGCATGTCCAGCACCTCTGTTTGGGTGAGTGCCAAGATAAGGCAGGTATCCCATGGATTCCCCTTTAGCTATACTGGTCTATCTGCTCCTCCCCTGGGCTTTCACTGGCCTCCAGGATCACCTCCATCAGCCCCACGTAGTCACCCTCAGCTAGGGAGATTCCAGAGTCATTGGGGGATGGACTCTCTGCTCTCCTGGGCTCTTTAGGAGCTGGGGGGTTGGTATTTCCATTCCCAGTGTCTCTCATGTTCCTGGAAACCTCTGGGTGCTGGTCTGGAGCGCTGGCTGCATCTTCCAAACTGAGGCTGCGAGCCTCAGGGCCCAGGTTGCCTTTGTGGGACCTTTCCAGGGCTGGAGAGGTGACAGGAGTGAAGGAGAAGCAGAGGGAGGTGCTGCCTCCGGGGGTTTTGTTACTGGGGGTGTGAAAGGCACTGGAATGCTCAGAATTGGGAGTGGCTGAGGCCGTGCTCTCCAGGTTTAGCCAGGGTGGGCGTGAGGCTTTGGAGTTCTTCAGGCTTTTGAAGCTGCCGTGCTTCTCATGCTCAGGGGTCTCTGGTAGGAAGGGGAATTTGGGGCTGTTGGATGCTGTGGACTGTGCTCCTGGGCTTCCCGTGGTGGCTGCTTCCCTGGAGCTGCTCTTTCCTTCTTCTACTGTCACAGCCACAGAGTCAGGACCTTTGCTCCGCTCTGTTGGCCAAACAAAGGTTTCCTTTGCAGCAGAGCCCAGGGAGCTCTGGCTCTTGTCCACATCGCTGGCCCTGGAAGGGGAGGCGTTGACAATGACATCCCGAAGGGAAGTGGAGCACGCAGCGATGCTGGAGAGTGCCGGTGGCTTCTTGCGCCCTTGGCGCCGGGAAGGGAAAATCATGGGGATGGAGCTGATGGGCGTCTGCGGAGCGCTGTAGAACCCAGGCCTCTCGTAAAAGGGGGTGGACATGAAAGCATCAAACTCCCTTAGTTTTCCCTCTTCGCTGTCCCACTGCTCCTGGGAGTCTCCTCTTGGCTGATTGATGCCACAAGGACTTCCGACCTTCCCCATGTCCTGGTAGGTATAATGGGAGAAGGGCGACGCGGGATCTCCTCGCCGGCGCAGCAGGTTCATCCGGGAAGAGGACCTGGAGAAGTTTGGGGACTGGACACCCAGGAGACGGCCCAGGTGTCCCAGCAAGGGAGTGGAGTGGTTGGCCTCCTCGTTCTCTTTAATCTGCTCCAGGGGCTGGAACTCCATCTCTTCCTTCTGCATGCTGGGAAAGGCAAAGTGGACTGTTACACAGCCACAGGGGGAGGGGAGGGATCTCCTGGAGAGGCTGGCAGCACTGGGAATGCTGCTGCCAGTGGCAAGCCTCTCCCTGTATTGCCATTAGCCCCCCAAAAAAGGGATGCTCATCGTACAGGTGAGTGAGGAAAAGAGATTAGATTTATCGTTTTCCATGGAGAATGTTGGCTGTCGTGGGTGAGCCTAAAAGCTCCTCAAGTGTAATGTCCCAATAAAACCTGATCCAGGTGTTGTGACACTTTGTCCCTGCACTCACCTGATGTCAAAAGTGGAGCCCAGGAAGGATGGGCGCTTATACTCAGCAGTGGCTGCGGTGTAGGGTGGCTGGGGATCGGGCTCGTTCCAGTAGAGGTCCTTCTCCAGAATGGGTAAATCCTGGTGCATCTCATCCACTGCCATGAGGGAGACCTGCGGGGGACAGCAGGAATGTCACATGGGGTAAGGAGCATTTTGTGTGCCTGTTATCGAGGGACAAAGGAACACGGAGCTGGAGGAAGCGGTGCAGCACGGAAGCCAGGCAAGTGGCTGGGGTTGCTGTGGTTTCCTGTCATTTGGGTTGTTTCTCACAGAGATTTGATTAATTGGAAGGAAAATGGTGCTGAAGGAGACAGGAAAGCAACAGACTCATTAGGACAGAAAGGTGTGGAGTTACTGCATGGCAGAAAGCAGAGGAGGCAGTTTTAGATGGACACAGGGTAAGGAAGGAGGGGCAGGAATGATGTGTCATTCAAAGGCAGCTGGGTCCTGAAACAAGCAGCCTTGATCTATCCCATGTGCCAGAGCATGGACTGAAGCTGCAGGCAGCCTCTGTGTACAAAGATATGCCAGAAGCCCCAAAATCCCTGCTGTGCATTGGGAGGACCTCTCCCATTGCAGGCAGGGAGGTGAGGCAGAGGTGTTGCAGGGGAACTTGGTCACTGTCCTGCCTTGGTGTTCCTCTTCAGGTGAGGCTCACCTGGTGAATCTTCCTCCCCTTTACCTGCAGGTTTCTGTCAATGAGCCAGTTGGCTTCAAAGTCATCGTCGTCCTCCCCAAAAGGGTTGATGAGCTGCTCAGCCACCTGCATGTGGAGAGCAGACAGCAGTCACCATTGTCATCCCTGCCCTTTTCCATGCAGGGAGAAGTCAGGTGTGATGTCCCTTGAATTCCAAGCCATGGTTTTCTTCCCAAAAGGGGGTGTGTTAAAAGTGGAAGCATCCCAGGGACTGGGAGACACTGGAATTTATAATAACTCCCCCCAGCTTTTTTCCCCTCTAGTAAGGACCAAAGCCTAGGAAAAGTGCAGCTGGTGTCCAGAATGAGGCAGTTGGAAAATTAGAAAGTCCTGGCACTTCCTCAGCCCCTCTTGGCTTCCTGTTATTGCCCATAGATCAAAGAACACAGCAGGGTTCCTGATGATCTCACACTGGGAAAAACCCTTGGCTGGGTCAGATTCCAACTCCAGCGTGTTTTCTTGGACTTACCTTTAACCAGCCAGCATAGAAGAAGAATTGCAAAAATGTAAAGACGGGCACAAAGAGATCCAGCTCATGGCCTGGATATGCTTTCTCTGGATCCAGGAATTGCCTCCCAATCAGACAGGCCAGGAAGAAGCTGTAAACGGCCACAGTCACCACCTGGGAAGAATGCCAAGGGACACACCAGGGCAGCGTGAGTTCCCAGCATCTCCCTTCAGTTCCACCCCACACAATTCCAAAGCCAAGCTCTGTAGCCTCTGGGAAGCCTTGGATTCAGTTCTGACAGGCTTTTTGCAGGAGGATGCATTTCCCTGCAGAAAGCTACAGGCATTCCCTTTTCCCTGCAGCTTTTATGTACACTGTGTGCTGTCCCTGGAATGATATCTGTTCAGGTGTCACAGGCCAGTGACAGCAAGCACATGACATCCTGGATGGGTTGGAAGCTGTCTCATGGCTCAGTCCATGCTGGCAGGCTGCTTCCAAGTCTGGGAAGGGAACCCTGGCACTTCTATTTGCTCCTTCCATCTCCTCATGCTGAGCTTTTATTAGTATTTTCCTGCCTGGATTTCAGGCTATGCTGAGCTTTGTGCTTTTTCCTGTCACCACAGGACTGGAAACTTCCCCTTTTCAAGTTAAAAGTAACCAAGAATCTCACGTGGTCCCTTGATATAAACAAGGGGGTTCAAAACAGGAATATACTTTACATGTTCCCCACTAACCTCTGGCACTGCCAGAGCAGCAACAACAGCTCCTATTTCGTGGTGAAGGGCATCCCTGTTATCTGAGCAGCTGGATTGTAGGAGACAAAGGAGCAAGGTGGTGCCAAAGTGTCTGCCTGGGCTGATAAACAGCTGAGTACACGCCTGGCACAACCTTCCCGGGATGTGATCCCTGCAAGGTGGTGCAGGGAGTGTGTCTGTGTGTTCCTGTGTTTTCCATAGGTCTGTGTGGATTTGTTAGCGCTGGATAGAGGTTGTTTCTGGAGAGATGGATGTGTCTGAGTTAGGGAAAGCAGGCTGGGCTGGGTGTGTGCTGAGGTACCAGTGGAAGAGAGATGATGTGTGCAGGTGGGGGTGAGGGATTCAAGAGTAACCTGCATTTTTCACAATGGGTCAGGTAGGAAGCACTTCTACAAAGATAGGCTGAGAGAGCTGGGGTTGTTCAGCCTGCAGATGAGGTTTTGGGGAGGCTGTGGCCTTCCAGTACCTTACAGGGGCTTATGGAAAGGAAGGAGAGGCACAGGCACTTTTTACACAGGCAGACAGTGATAGCACAAGGAACAATGGTTTTAAACTGATAGAGGGCAGGTTTAGATTAGATATGAGGAAGGAATTCTTTACTAAGAAGGTGTGAGTCCCTGGCATAGGTTTTCCAGAGAAGCTGTGGCTGCCCCAGCCCTGGGTGCACCCAAGGCCAGGTTGGACAGGGCTTGGAGCAAGCTGGGATAGTGGAAGGTGTCCCTGGATGAGCTTTATGGTCCCTTCCAACCCAGACCATTCCAGGTGTGGGTGTAAGTGGGCATGTGCACAGGCAGTGGTGGAGCAGGGAGATTCCCTTCTCACCTGGGTGTAGACCAGAGGGATGCTGATCCAGTCATATCCATAGAGTTTCCCACACTGGCTGCGCAAGGTGTTGAGCTCCTGCAGCAGGGAAAAGGGAATGGCATGTGAGGATAACTTCCCATCTCCTTGCAGAGCCTCTACAGCACCACTGTTCTGCATTGCTCCAGCCCTTCCCTTCTGCTTATACCTTCTCTGGAAGGGGGTCTCAGTCTCAGCCTTGGAGGAATTCCCTGCTGCCTGGGTGTCTCCCCCTGAGCCCAAGACCCCTTCCTGGCTCACTTCACAGCAGAGTTTCTCCTCACAAAATGAGCAGCCAACAGGTGAGGCCAAGAATACCCTCAGGAGCATCCATTTCTCTCTCCTGTCTATAGATAAATATCCCAGAGGGAGGTTTCTCTGTCTCTGGGGAGATGAATGCTGCTCCAGGGAACAGACACCACATGACTTTCTCTGCACATGACTACCCAGAAGGAGGAGCTGCTCCAGAGCCTTTTTCTGTGCAGCTGGGCAGGGATTGTTGCCAGGTCTTGCCTGTGGAGCATGGCCTGTTGCCCAAAACTATCTAAGAGTTTTTAATAGCCATGTTTTCTACAGGACCTCAGTTGTTGAGGATGTTTTTGACCTCTCCTAGACTTCCAGATATATTCTTCCTTGTGGCTTTCCATCTGGATCCTAGAAACCTCCACGGGCATTGGCTGTTCTGGAATGTGTCAAGGACCTGTTTCATAGGTGCCTCCCGTTCCCCAGGATCTCAAAGACCTGCCTGTCCCCTCTGTCACTCACATTCAGGATGCCTTGGAGCAGCACGCTGTCCCGGATCCTGCCGTCATTCCTCGCCTTCACAGCCAGGTTGGAGAACCACACACACGGGATCCAAAACTTGTTGTGGGGGGAATTCAAGCTCTCAAACTTCTTGTGCTCTTCTGGTGTCATGAGGCCTGGATGGAAAAGAGCAGCTGGGAGGGGGATGGACATAGAAGGCAGAAAGAACTGATCTGGTCTGAAATGAAAACATCTGAATCTCAGGTGGATGCCTCGGCCCTCCCTAAGAATCCCAGGAAAGACTCAGAATTTGGGAAGACATGCAGAAGGACAAGTCTCCTTGTTAAAACATTGAGTCATGGAGGTGGGATAATGGGATTTCACTTTGGATGTCTGCAGCACATCAGATCAGAGCCATCAGGGAGATAAAACATTGCTGAGGGTGCAGCTGCCTGGTGTCCATAGATACTTGCTGAGAATGGGATCATTTGTGTCCCTGAAGTGCCTTTTCTTTTTAAGAGGCCAGCAATATCACATCTCTGTGGATTGCCAAAGGAACCCAGACAATGTGGGCAGACTGGGAACTCTGCTGCACCTTGAGGAGCATCTCCCAAGAAGATGCAGTGTGCTCAACAATTAAGCTCAGAGACTTGGGGCTCGAATTCCCACCTGCCCTGAGGGAACAGCACCACCCCATTTCCAAAGAACCTTTCCCAGGGCCCCCTGCCCCTAGAGGAGCAGCAAGGAGCAGTGCTGACCTGCCCTCACGACGTGCTCCATGCTGGGGAAGCGCTTGTAGACGGCGGTGCTGACGGAGCGCAGGATCAGCACGCTGACCAGGTTGCTGTAGCGCATCAGGGTGCGGCGCAGGAGCCTCCCGTACTCGTCCTCCCCATCCACGTTGCAGGACACCAGGTTCATGATCCGGTCTGGCCATGGGATGCTCTCGTACTGGGCCCACCAGCGGGACACCACCAGGGCCACGTAGAAACCTAGAGGGGAGCTGAGAGAGTCAGGCATCTGAAAAGAGCTTCTTCCTCCCACTCTGTCTGATCTCCTTCTCTTCTGCTCACACATGGATGGGTGCAGGAATGTCTGGAGGGGAATTCAGTCCTCCATGCTAAAAGGAGGCTGGATTTCATACTTCCCTTCCAACCTAAACTGTTCTGATTCTATGAAGCAGCCTTAAAGATGATCTCATTCCAACCTCCTGCTCTGGACAGGGACATCTTCCACTGGACCAGGTTGCTCAGAGCTCCACACAGTGTGGCCTTGAAAACTTCCAGGGATGAGGCAGCCACAAATTCCCTGGGCATATCTGGTGCCACTTGGAGCTTGCTCTCCTGTGCTGGGGACGCTCACAGCTGTGCCAATAAAGGATATATCCCACTTGAGGAGTTTTACAAAGGCAGAGGGAGGGACCTGCTCTGCCAGCTGAGCTCTGCTGAACCAAGGAGAAGAAATGCTGTCCCATTCCCCTCCCTGCTGGATTCCAGGCAGCTCCTTACCCAGCACGAAGGACACGGGGATTAGCTCAGCGTAGCTGTTGCAGTACAGCGCCAGCTTCTCAAACATCAGCCTTTGGCTCTCGCTCAGGATCAGCCTAAAACGGACAAACAGAAGCAGTTCTTCCTATTCCTCCTCTCTCCCCTCCCCTTCCCTCCTCTGAACAGTCTGGCAAGTGCCTGCCCAGCAGGATCCCTGCCCCAATCCTGTGTTTCTCCTGTGTCCTGCCCCAGGCCAGGCTGTGGGTGTGAAGTTGCTCACCTGTAGACAAGGCTGATGGTGAAGTAGAGAGAGATGAAGATCAGGAACTCGGAGTAGAGCAGCTTGTAGATGCTGCCCTTCCACTGGAGCAGGAGCTGGGAGAAGGTGCCCAGGCGGGCATCTGCCACGCGGTTGGTGTAGGTCACTGTCATCACAGCTCCTGTGCAGGCACATGACAAGCAGGACTTGGAGCTTGAGCAGGAGGAGACACAGGGACATCCCAGGTGTCCCACCAAGGAAGATGGGAAGGAAGGAGAAAACAGAAGAAGCTGAGATCAAAAGCTGGGTAAGATGTAGGCAGCAGCACAGAAAACCAGGAGGAAATTGACAGCAGGCAATTAATTTGATGAGTTTGCCATCTTTTCTCTGTCTTTGGTCTGGTTATAGTGACCGAGAATGTATTTTCTGGTGGATCCCTTTGTTTTTAGTATTTGATTTTTGTCAGCATTCAGGTTGGGCTAGTTGGTTGAAGAGGACAAAGCCATGTGCCACCCCCTTTGACAAAACACTTGTGGTAAGATTAATCTCAGGGTCACAAACTGCAAAGTTTATGCTTAGCCCAGTAATTTTCTTAATATGTTTTTTGTTCCAAATATGTTTCTGTAAACCTATTTGCTGGCAAACATCTTCCTGAAATACTGCTGGGGAAAAAAAAAAAAAAACCCAACCCAAAGGAAAGGAAAAACCCCAGAAAGATTTCTTGGAACTGATCCAGATGAAGGCATCCCAGCAAGGATAGCTATCTGCACTCTGCTGGTCCTAGTCATGTAGGCAGAGCAGCCTTCCCTGTTGGAGATCTATGGGATGGAGTTTGGCCAGGCTCACAGGGCCCAAATTCCAGCAGCTCCACCTCCCTTCTCCTTCAACCATATGTTGCACAATAAATCACAGTGGCTGAAAAATAGGCATTCAGGCTCCTGAAATGCTCCCCAGACATGCAGCATCCCCATTTCACTTCTAGTCTAACTTGCATAAATAATTCTTTCTAATCAATTAATAATCAGACTCGTGGTTGCATAAACCTGACTTTATTTTAAAAACACTCCAACAAACAACAAGACACCAGTGTTATCTATGCCAGGCAGATTGGTGAATGATTTCTTGGGTTAGAAATAATTATCCAGTGTGAACTATTGGTATTTCTGAATCCTAACATGTCACCAGGCATTGCTATTTAACAGAGGTAATAACTTTAATGATTATGGGGCCTTGGGCTCTTCCCTGAATGATGGGGATGAAGAAGCACTTCAAGGGACAGACCACACCCTGAAGCAGCTGAAGGCAGGTAAGTTTGGGCCCACCTTCCTCATTTGTTTCTCATTTAAGCATCCCAGTGAAAGATTTAGATTTAGATGGGGACAACTCAGGTCCCAGTGAGCTGCTGCTGTGAAGAAAACCAGAAAAGTCTGGATTTTTGGCTATTTCAACCAAGCAACACCTTTGTCCTAGGTTTGTCTTTTAGGTGCTGCTCCTCCTTTGGGTTTTCCTGTCGTAACTTAGGTCCCTGAGTCCCCTCTTAAGGATGATACAGAGGAGCAGAGCTGTCCCTGTCCCCAGCTGCACAAATGCCCATTTCAGTAAATCCTCGTGTCCATTCCATATGAACTTCTGGGTACAGAACTTGGAGGAGTAGGTTTTAACAGCCCCAGAGGTTGAACCCACAGGCTGCCCACACGGGAAAAGCATGCCCAAAACCCCATACATTTTTGGGGCCCCTTACACAAAGCTGCATCTTTTCTCTGGGCTTTAGGGCTCGAAAGCGCTCAGGGAGATTCTTTGTTGCGTAATTCAAATACAGATTCCCTTTTTTACCAAAGAAGGAAAACTCCAGCTCTTGGCCATGTAAATAATGGATGTTGCCCACCTCTACTCTGTTCTGCTCCTGTGTGGGGATATGGGGCTTTTCCCAGTGCTTTTCCCTCCAGCCCTGAATGGGTAAGGCACCTCCCTGCCCACCTGCCAGCCTGTGCTGAGCTGCCCTGGGGTGTCACTGGGCAGCTGGCACATTCCATTAGTGGCTGAGGTCTGTGGTGGGAGGTGGCTCACTGGGACACCGGAGTCAGGATGGGCAGGAAGAGCCCACCCAGGGAGCTGCTGCCTGTCACTGCCTGCATCCCCTGCTCATCCCTCTGGACTAACCAACACACCTGGAAGTCGACTGACCTGGAATTCAGTTGTGGGAGCCCACAGCAAGCAAGATTCTGGGACATCAGGTGCATCACCCACCACAAACAGACCCTAGCAGGTATTGCAAAGACAGACAACGAGCAGACAGAGCAGAGGGATGGAGCCAGAGGAAGTCACAGATAGGCAGGAAGATGGATCTCTGCAGGAGAGACTGATCCTCCTGCTGCTATTAGGAGGACCAGATACTCACAGTCATGGGCTCCTGAGCCGTGCTGGAGGCTGGGGAGGTTTGGTCCTGCACGTGTCCCCGCTGGGTCCTTTGTGGCCTGGGCCACCACCCGCATCCTCGTGCCCCCTTGGCTCATAGGGGGATTGGACCTGCCCCACACGGTGTGCTAAGGAGCCTGAGACCCACTTGGGAGCTGCAGCCGGTCACTTGATGCTGTAATCCCTCCTCATTACAAAAGAGACTCTGTTGTCTTTTGCCCTGTTCCCTCCTAATCTTCTGAGTAAGCCCTGCGTGTTTATAGAGGCGGCCGGAGGAGGGGGAGGCAGGGCTGGCTGCTCTGCTGCTACTAACTCCTGGCACAGCCATGGTGGCTGCCAGAAGAGAGGCATTTTTCCTCTAATTCTTTCCTGTTTGGTCCCTCTCTCCATGTCACAATCTTACAGGAACCCCAGGAGATTATGCAGGGCTGGAATTTTCCACCAAGGCTGTTAAACACGGTGTGCTTGGGGGCTGCCCTCTCTTCCCTAGGTCAGTGAAACACCTGGTTCATGCTCTGCTTGGCTCTCACAGGACATTTCCCTGTCATCTCTCACTGTCCCTGGATGAGTTTGCCACCTCTTCCAGCTGTGGTTTGGATGCAGAGGATTTCCACTCTGCCACTGGTTCTCCGAGACTCTTTCCATGTGTTCCCTTTCTTTTGCTCCTGCTTTTCCAGCACTGCTTGAGAGCTGTCACTGTGCTTCCTTGCACAATATCCTGGGAAACACTGGTCCTTGCCTTGCCCTCAAACTTCTACCAAGCCAGGGAATTCCTTCCCTCTGTCTTTCCAGGGTCCTTAGTCCCTTTTCTTCTCCTTCCCAATTGTGACGGTCCTTCCCTTCTACCACCTCCTAAATGCTTCTGCTCGGGTTTTAAGGACATTCCCCTTCCATGAGGCTCTGAATCAAAATCTTGTCTTAATGCACTGGTCTTCCATCGTTTAGGCAGCTGTGGGACACTGTGGAGAGGGAACACAGGTCTCATCCTTGCAGGTAAGAGCAGCTAGAGACCCACGCTCCTGTAATAACCAACTTTCTCCTGTGCTTTGTCTTTGACACTCACTTAACATCAGTAGTTGGGATCAGTTTGTCCCAGTTGCAGTTTTGTCTTTCCTGTGACTGATCCTTGACACGAGGGGTGGGCTGTTTCACTGCTCCTCTGGAGCCAGGTGCTGCCTGGCGTCTGCCTGATGTGGGATTTCTGGTGCAGTCCTGGGAATTGCTGCCAGTGGCAGGGAGAGCATAGTTTAAAATGTGGATCAGTGCTCTGTGAAGGCACATGAGAGCAGGGGGACCCTCTCTGAAGGGAATGTGGTCTACTTCCAGGGCTGGAATTGCTGAACAGGCAGGCTGAGCTAGATCTTGAGGGTCTTAGGGTCTGAACCCTCATCCCCACACACAGCAGGAGACCAAAATGCTTCAGGTGAGACATTTGCTGCAGCTGTTGGGAGCAGTTTGGCTGCTCCTGGGGACGTGGAACAACAACCCCCTGAGTGTCCTGCTGTTTGTGGAGGGATGTGCTGGCATCTGGGGGCCTCTGCTGCCCTCCTGTGAGAGCAGCTCTGCTGGCAGCTCGTGAGCTCCGCAGCTGCCCTTGGGACAGCAGGAAATATGTGTGGAATTTAATATTAAAGTAAATAACTGAAGGGCTACCGGCGTGGCAGAGCTGCTTGGATCTCTTTCGACATCTCCTGTGGCCTCAGACCCTGAGGAGGAAGATGGTCTGAAAGCCTGCCTTGCTCAGCAGAGCAGGAAGCAAAGAGGTGGTGACATCCATCCTCAGCCTCAGAGCTCTGGAATCATCCTCATTTTCTCCATGCTAAAGATGTAGAGATTGAATCGCTGTGCTGGGAGTTGAATCCCTGCTTTGGGAATGCCAAAGGGCCACTCTCAATGCTGAGTTAGCAGCAGCTGGCTCCTGGGAAAGGCACAGTGCTCTCCTTGCTCTCTCCCAGAGAACAGTAAGTGTTTTTAGGGACAGCGGGTCCCAGAGCTTGGTGAAATCCCTTTCCCTTCTCCAGTTTCAGTGCTGGGATAGACACGGAGGCAGCTGGCATCGGAGGTGTCTCTCCAAACTACATGCTTCCTTGAAATCTGATGTAATTTAAAAAAAAATTGAACTGGGAAGTATCTGGGGAGATGCTGTTTTTCATGGACAGGATTTACTCAGAGGTTTGAGCTGGCCAGAAATGTTTGAAGAGGATGCAGTGACCCTGCAGTGCTTTTGTGAGGACCCCCAGGCTTGTTCCCCTTATGCTGCAGAATTCCTCACTAGTTCTTGCTGCCCTGTGCCAAGCTCCATCTGACCCAAATGCATTTTGCTTTTAGGGGCTTGGATGGTGACAAGTCTCTCAGTTTGCCTCTGATGTTGCACAGTTCAGTGCATACAGCATGAAAATGAAGGAAGGGTCCTTAGTGAGGTCCCTCGTCTCTTGCCTTAGGTATTGTGGTGGGGATTAGGTGCCAAAGGGAGGATCAAACATGCTGGTGTTGGAAATCAGAGACCCCAGAGGAGCCTTGCTGCAGCCCTTGCAGCCAGCTGAGCAAACATGTGGCACAGCCAAGGAGCCAGCCAGGAGGGGCTGGAGGGAGCCTGGAGTTTCAGGCCATTTGTTCTCCTTTCCATGCCAATACCATCTGGTTTGAGTTTGCTGGGTAAGGGGTGTCAGCAAGTCAGATTCTGCTTTCCAAACTCAAAGATAATGCCTGTTCTTCCTTCCCTTCCCAGCCTCTGTCTGGCTTTCTTTTTCTTTTTCTTCTCCCCCTTTTCTTCTTCATCATTTCCCTTCCTTGTATTTCCACTTTCCCCTTTTTCCTTTCCTTTTCTGCTTCTCTTCTGGGAAGAAGAGGGGAGTACTCTCTCCCTTATGACAAGTTACTTTTTCAAGTGGCTGGGATTCAGCACATCCACCTCAAAGCTTCCTGTCAGCACTATCAGTTCTCATCCTTCCTGCCTTTGTTGGCTCCTGGAAGCACTTCTACCTTTCTAATCCAAGGACCCTCTGTTGCTGCTGGCCAAGCCTTGGGAGTTAATAATTACAAAGACTAATTACATCTGGTGCTGCTTTGCAGAGCTGAAGATCTTTCCCCTCCTCCCAAAAGTTCTCTGAAGATAGCAAAGGTTGCAGCCAGAGACACAAACACCCCGGACACTCCGTTCCCAGACTTCAGAGCATGGGCTTGGCCCGTGCTGTCCCTGTGGATCCCAGCCATGAGGCAGGGCAGGGCTGGAGGTGACACAGACACCCAGGAGATGCTGGGACAGAGAATTGCTCCCTGTGTGGTATCCACAGAAAAATCCTACAGTGGACACCAGGATCACCATGTCTGACTCTCCTGCCTCCGGTGTTGGGTCTGTCCCAGTGGCAGAAGATGGACAGGCTGAGAGCAGGGAGGGAGCTGTCACTGTGTGTGAAGGCTCCAAAGGAGAACGGCTGCCTGGAGGGAAGCCCAGAGCAATGGCAAGGTAGGATGTGATGGGAAATGTCCTCTGAAGGCAGCAGCAGTTTTTGGTTCAAAATTTCAGTGCTGTCAATCCACAGGTGGCAATGGGATCCGCTGTGGAACAGGAGTGACAGCAGGAGTGATTTGGCTGTTGGGTTCTGAGCCCAATGTTCTACTTGAAGTATAAAAACCCTGGACAATCAGCAGCTGATTTTCCCCCAGCCAGATTTCCCCCATCCTTCCACCTCCCTGCGTTTACATCCCAGGTTTCCTCTCTGTATTGGCTTTGTATGGCACCGTTTTGGTAGTGGGGGCTACAGGGAAGCAGAGATCCACCTGCAGCCCATGGAAGAGCCCACGCTGGAGCAGAGGCATGCCCGAAGGAGGCTGTGGCCCCACAGGGAGCCTGTGCTGGAGCAGAGTCCTGGCAGGACATGTGGAGAGAGTGGAGCTGCCTGTTCCTGACCCTGTGGAAGGGACCCACGCTGGGGCAGTGCATGAAGAGCTCCTTGGAGAAGGAGGACTTCTCCTGTGGGAGGAACCCCAGGCTGTAGCAGGGGCGGAGTGTGAGGCATCCTCCTCTTGAGGAAGAAGGAGCAGCAGAGACAGCAGCCCCCATTCCCCATCCCGCTGTCGGGAAGGAGGCGGAGGAAGCCAGGAGCGATTCCGAGCCGGGGACGAAGAGCGGAGCGGAGGGACGGCTGCCGGCCATTTCCTTGCACCCCCTCGCTGCCCCGCGGTGAGTGGATGGGTGACAAACGCCGCTAGCTCGGAGCCCAGCCCGTGCCGGTCCGCAGGGACCCCTCGGCCCGGCGGCGCTCAGGGCGCAGCCGCGCCCGCATCACGTGGGCGGCGGGGCCGCGGCTGCTCGGGATCGGCTCCGGAGCCTGCGGGAGCCGGTCCGCTTCTGGCTCCTCCGGGCTCGGCTCCGCCGGAGCCTCCGCTTCTGATCCCTCCTGGCTCGGCTGCGGCTCCTCCGGGCACGGATCCGCCGGAGACTCCGGTTCGGGTCCCTTCGGGCACTGCTCCCGCTCCGGCTCCTCCGGGCACGGCTCCCGCTCCGGCTGCGGCTTCTCCGAGCGCGTCTCCGCTTCTCGCTCCGGCTTCTCCTCCGGACACAGCTCCGGCTTCTCCCGCGGGCTCCCGGTGCGGCTGCCCCGGCCATGGGGGCTCTGGCGGGCGCGCCTCCGCCGTGAGCAGCATCAGCAGCAGCGGGACCCAGCGATGTTGCGGGGGTAGGTGCGGGTCTGGACGGGGAAGGAGTGGCGTCCGTGTGCCGGGGCTCTGTGTCTCCGTAGAGTCCTGGAATGGTTTGTGTTGGAAGGGGTCTTGAAGTTTCTCTTCTGCTGCCACGGGCAGGGACACCTTCCACTAGACCCGGTTGCTGCAAGCCTTGTCCAACCTGGTGTGGGCACTTCCAGGGATGGGGCAGCCACGGTTTCTCCGGGAAATCCAGTCCATCACCCTCGTAGGGAAGAAGTTGTGTGGAAGCCAATTAAGGAGGTGGAATACGGAGGCAGCAGCATCTCCAGATACAGGACTTGGTGTTTCGTTGCTGGGGCAAAGACAAGAAACGCCAGTGTGTGTTCTGCTGTAATATAATAACATAATATAACAAAACACTGTCAGATGCTCTGCCAAACATTTGAGGAATGATGCTGAGCACACATGGGATGATGAGCCACTCTGGACTGATGCTGGTCCATGGTGGTGCAGGTCAGGCGTCCATCCCGGTGGGGATGGAAAAGTCAGGCCCTGCTCCCAAACCTGGGGGTAAGAGTTTAACCTGGAGAGAGCCGGAGGCTCCTTACACAGGAAACAACCCCGTCGGATCAGCGCTGCAGGAAACATGTGGGGCCCGCTGGAAAAAGTGCAGATCCTGCACATTTTTTTGCTTTTTCTACAGAAACCAACTTTAGAAGGTTGTGGGGTGTTGGGAATTTTTTTTTTTTTTTTTTTTTTTTTGTGTAGGTTTGCATTTCGTGTCAGAGCATGACTCTTAGGATATGATCCATTTTTCCTGGAAAGACAGCTACTAGTCAGCAAGAGAGGGAGTGTTTCTGGTGGTCCTTTGGTCTCTGGGGTTGGATTTCAGAGCCCCACCCGGACACTGAGCAGAATCCAGCATAGCCAAGGCTTCCACAGGGATTCTGTTTGCACGGCATGGAGAAAGAATGAGCTATTCCGTCGTAGATGATTTTCCAGGATATGTTTTTGGCATTACAGAGTGTGGGTGGGACTGTTTAATTCCTCCATGTCCTCCAGTTTTCTTCCGTAGTGTGTGGAAATACGCTGAAATATCTGTCTCCTGAGGCAACTTTCAGCTGAGAATTAGAGAGTCACAAAGGAACAACATTATTTTTCCTTCCTGTGGGTTAGATTAAGTGTATTTGTATCAGTAGACTGGTGAAATGTCCCTTTTCCTTGCTGCTTCTTTTAGTTATTATTTTTATCCTCCGTTCTCTGATTTCGTTGATCGTTTTTGGTGTGAATTCTTCCCAGTGTTCAGAGAGTTCTCCATGTGTGCTTTTCCACATTGCTTTCCTATGATACCTGAGCTGATTTAGCTGGGAGCTGCAGCTTTGTTCCCTTTTTGAAAGGTGGCTGGGGACAGCTGTTGGTCTTGGAGAGCTTGGGGGACACAGAAAGGGAGAAATTAGAGTGGAAGAGGTGATAGAACACTCTGGGAGATAAGCCCAGCCTGTATGGAGTCAGAGCAAGGGAGAAGAGCGTGGCCTGGCTGGAGTGCAGGAGAGGAGAACACAGAGAAGGGGCAAAGGGACGAGGAAAAAGTGAGCCTGTGCAAAAAGAGGTGATGGCTGCTCTGCAGGAGGAGGTGGTGGGTGAGGAGCAGTGACCAGGAGTGTGGGAGGAGGTGCACGAAGAGAAGGGCACCAGAGCTTGTGAGCCAGAGATAAGCAGCAGCAGGTTAATCTGCAGGGCAGTGCCTGTGTCTGGGCAGGACAGAAAACTTCCATGTGGGGAAGGCTTGGACACACTGCCCCTGCCTTCAAATGGAGGGAAATACTATGGGGAGAGTTCAGTGAGGAAGAGGAGAAATGCAAACACTGCAGTGACAGCAGTGCCCTGCATGCAGGCACTCATATGATGTTTTCCATTCCTAAAACTTCTCCAGCATCTGTGTTAATTTGGGAGCTGACAGAGCCCTACTGAGCACTGGGGTGCAGTGTCCTGGGTCACTCTTCTGGTTTCTTCTTTCTAGGATATCTCTGCTTGCTGGCCACTGAAACTAAAAAATAGGGCTTTGACTCAGCTTGGGGAAAATACACTGGTTTAGACAGCTCTGTGGGGGATTTTGATGGGAAATGGGTGGGAAAACAGGTTAAAATCAGTTAAAAATAGATCTTCTCCTTCTGAAGCAGATGCAGGGGGTAGAGAAGGCTGGGTTGGCAGCAGAGGGGATTGGGGTCTTTATATTAAGAACGGGAAAGCTGTATTCCTTTTTTACTAGTTCAGTAGGGAAGTCTGACCTTAGGTCTACTGGGTGTATTCTGGAATCCTAAAAATTTATCTGCAGGTTGTTTCTCTTGGACAGCAGGTGAGAATGGGATCCCTGGAGGAGCTGTCCTTTGTTCTCCTGGTTATTATCCTGAGTTAATATGGACACCCTGCCAGAAGGGTAGAGCATAGGGTTGCAGGGCAGAGGAACAGGTACAGCTGTTGCTGCCCAAATTCTTCCCCATCACCCTCCCTGCCTCATTCCCACTGCCTGTGCCTGGGGCTGGATGTGTTGTGAGTGTTGGAGGAAGGCTCTGGATCACCCTCACACTCATTTTCCATGTGCTGTTACCCCCAGCCAGGTCAGTTTTGAGGAAGAGAGCCAGAATCCACCCGCTGTGGGACACTGGAAGCCCCTGATGCCATCCAAAGGCAACAAGGAGGAGGCAGAGAGTGGATGCCAGGATGCTGGAGGTGTGCACGAACCCCAGTCCACGGAGCAGCTCAACGTGTCCCGGCTGCGCAGCTCCTCGGTGGAGATCCGGGAAAAGGGCTCGGAGTTCCTGAGGGATGAGCTGCACAAAGCACAGAAGGTGAGCCCCAGGGTTTTTGGGAACTCCTGGGGAGGGTGGCACAGGTTGGAGCAGAGGGGGCTTTTCTGGAGGTGGTGACAGGAATCTTGGTCATGGATCAGGTGCTGAGGTGGGGAGGAAGGGCTGTGATTGCCAGGCTGGGGCAGGACATCAGCATTTCTATCCCTCTATTTCCTCAACAGGAGCTGAAGCTCAAGGACAAAGAATGTGAGAGATTGTCAAAAGTCAGGGAACAGCTGGAACAGGAGCTGGAGGAGTTAACAGCCAGCCTGTTTGAGGTACCACCCTCTTCCTTTCCCATCATTTCTTAAGCTAAGCTTACATCCAGCTCCTTTAAGACAGGCTTTCCCTGGACTTCCAGCTCTCCTCCCACAATTTCCTCCTCTCCCTTGTTGTTCTTTCCCACTTGGAGAAGCAGAGCTGGGCAGTGGTTCAGGTGGAGTCTTTACCTGGATTTCCGTCCCCTTCTAGGAGCTGTGGGGTGGCATAAAGAGCACAGTAGTTATGGTTCCAAAATGTGGGAATGCCTGGAGCTGGAGCCAAGCATAGCTCCCTGTCCTTCTCCATGCCTGCTCTGCAGTCTGGGCATCGGCTCTGTAATAGAGATGATTCCCTGGCTCATCCCAGCCCTTGCTGGACAATAGATGTCCTCATCTATTCTGCTCCAGTGAGTGTCCAGAAGGCTTGTTGGTTGTTGGTTTTGTTTTGGTGTTTTTTTGTTGTAATGGGATTCTTGCCAAGCTGTATCCTGGCAAAATCCTGTCCACCAGCAGCTCTAATGTCTGGATCTGTCTGGATAACGAGGAAAGCCAGAGCCCACCTGTACATTTGAAATGCAGGGCTGTGAGAGCCAAGGAAGCACTCCTTCCCAGAATTTTGGCTGCCTGAGCACAGGGTGATCCTGGAGATCATGTAGCCAAGGGCTGTCCCCTTCCTTTGGTGGCCTTGGCCAGATGCTGTTTCCAGACTGCAGGGAGGCCCCAGCAGGCTGCATCCCACTCCCCTCTTCCTGTGGGTGAAGCTTCTAAGCCAGTTTCCACCATTTGGTCCCCACGTGAGCTCCAGCTCCTGCTGTGTCACAGCCAGCCTGGGGCAGTGGGACCAGCTGCTCTGAAAGGGAAGCAGGAGCAAAGTGCAATAACAAGGCAGGCAGGAGCAGTGCCCTCACCATGACATGGAGCAGTGAGTGTGGATCAGGATCAGAGCCACAGGCAGCAGTCAGGGTCAGGAACCAGTGCAGGGATCACCCAGCAAGGCTGCAGTGACTGCAGGAACCAGGCTGAGGTGAGGCTGGAGTCACAGCTGTTGGAATAGGGGCAGGCACAGGTGTGGTGTGGAACAAGTGGGTTCTAAGGTCAAAGCGATTCCCAAGGGCAAGGAAAGGCAGGTCCTTGCTTCTGGCATTCTTCTCAGCAGCCCCTATCAGTGAGAGATGACCTTGGCCAGCTAAACTCCTTAACTTAGCCAGCTACACTCTTGGAAATGGGATGCACTCCAGGTTCTGGCACTAGCAGCCTTCTCTGGGAAATTCTGAGGGAAGGCTCTGCACAGCTGAAGGAACAAACCTCCTGGATGTGGCAGGGATGTCTGTCTGTCCCCTTGCCTGGAACATGTGATGTGGCAGATCTGGGACCTGCCTTGTTGGCTGTGTGAGCTGGGGTGCAGCAGGTGGATTAAAACTCTCTCTGGTGCAGGAAGCCCACAAGATGGTGAGAGAAGCCAACACCAAACAGGCTGCGGCAGAGAAACAGCTCAGGGAGGCCCGGGGCAAGGTGAGTGGCTCTCTGTGACTTCATTTTTGGGGTTGGTGTGGTGGCATCTCTGCCCAGCCTGGCCACAGGGCTGTTTGTTGGCTGAGCAGAGTGAAGTGCAGCTTCGTCTCTCTGAGATGCTGTGGTCCCTTTCTAGCAGACACTTGAGTAGAGGGAAAAGGCCTCACAGACATCCTTGCATTGCAGTCTCCTGCTGATCCAGCTCTCACTGGGGAAATGGATCCACAGAGAAATAATGAGTTCAATTGTCACAGCTCTGGGATGGAAGGGTAGAGCAGGAACCTGGGGAGTTGGAATTTCCTGACATGGCTGAACCACAGGGCTGCCCAAATGGCTCCATCTTGAGGAGAGAGAAATTTCTTTGGAGTGATTAGTTCTGAAAAGAGCCTGGGACAAAAGGAGTAGATTCCCAAACAGCTGCTGTTTAAAATTCTGGGTGATGGTGGCACAGGGAGGATGGGAAGAGACTTCCTGGTTGGGCTTGTAGCTGCTTCCCTGTGGTTTCAATGTTTGATGGGATGCAGCAAACTGGAGCCCAGCATGTGCTGAGGGTGACTCTTGCTTGTGTCCCAGATTGACATGCTGCAGGCAGAGGTGACAGCCCTGAAGACGCTGGTGATCACATCCACGCCATCCTCCCCGAACCGGGAGCTGCACCCTCAGCTGCAGAGCCCTTCCAAAGCTGGCTTCAGGAAGGGCCACGGGCGCAACAAGAGCACCAGCAGTGCCATGGTGTCAGCTGCCAGCCAGAACGTGGCTCCAGAGCCCGTCAGCCGGGAGTGCAGAGAGGTGGGTCAGGGACATCGGCTGTGTCGGCCTCGGAGCCACCGCTCTGGGAACTCCGGGCTTCCCGCAGAGCTCTGTGGTCTCACTGAGCAGCTGTTCATGCCCTGTTCCCTAAATTTGTGCTGAGGCAGGCACTGGAGGGCTTCCTTTTGTGGGGGTTTCCTCTTTGTCGGGACAGGAAGCAGTCGAGGGATTACTGAGGGGCAGATCCAGGGGTGCCAGTGCTGTGAGCGGATGTGGAGAGCTGCTGAGCAGAAGCCAGTTCCACTAGCCAGATGTGGACACAGCTGTCCTGGGAAGCAAATAGGAGGCACTTGGTCAGGAAAAATGAAACTGAAGAAGAATGTGCTGCAGGAATATGTCTCACTAGGGATTTTTTGGGAGCTGCAGCCTGTGTCGTGAAGAATTGTTGAGGGAACACAAAGGCTTGTTAAAGATTCGGATCTGTCATTTCTTCATGGAAGCAGCTTCCACAGGGTGCAGATCTTGTGGGGTTTCACATCTCAGGGCTCAGCCTCCAGAGTGCCCAATGTTATATATCGAGGATGGGATGGTTTTTTGTCCCTCAGAATTCTTATGTGAGAGGTGATAAAAGGGAACCTGGCATTCAGAGAGTTGGTGCTCTATGGGAAAGATCTTAAATTTGGCCTAAAAATGGTAATTTCTGTTCCCTTTCTGCACCTCAGACTGAAGTCTAAAGATGTGACTTGTGGCCCTGTGGTGCCTGGAGGACCATGCTCCTGCAGGGGAGGACTTGAGCCTTTCTCTGTATCTCATGTTTTTTACCTCCCTCTTTGCCTGTCTCTCTAAACCTCTTCCTTCACTGTCTGTCTCTCCCTCTGCCTTCCAAGTCTGGTTTCCCTGCTCTCCTCTCCCTGCTCCTTTGCATCCTCCCTGGGAAGGCTATCCACATCACCTATGAGCCAGGCTGGCAGGCCTTGGGAGCAGATGCTTCCTCCTTCTCCTCTTCCTCACGGCAGGTAACCAACCTTTGGGAATGGGTGGGACCCACCTGCCTCTCACACTTCCAGCCTTTCAGTTCCAGCTTCCTTTTATGCTAATCTCCATTTTTTTTCCTTTCATTTTGTTTTTCTCTATTTTTTTTCCATCTTGTGGCTCTGAAGCTGTTGCTGGTCCCAGGTGAGCAGTCTCCATAGCACAGAGGGGATGTGCTGGAATCTGGACTTTTCCAGCTGCATTCACTCATGTTCTTTGTGTTGCTCAGCTTAGTTTTATTTTTTCCTTTCAGAAGCTTTTGTTGGCTTGTAGGAGCTGCTCTGTCAGTCAGGTTGGTGGTTTGCCCAGTGATCATCTGGGATTTAAATGCCAGATCCCACAGAGTCTCCTCTTGCCCCTCATCATTCCTGCCACGGGTTGAGCGTGCACTTTGTCTACTCAGTGGTTGTGTGGTGGCTTTCCTGCAGCCACAGGAAGGAGGAAAAGCCACTGGGAGGAAAATGGGATAGAGAGGTGCCTGCAGGCTTCTGGCACACACAGCCCAGGGTGGCTGTGTCACTCTGGCACAGAACTGCTGCTGGGTGGGACATGAGAGATCCTTGGAGCCAGGCAGCTTCCCTCAGATACTTCTGTGATGTCTGAGCCTCTCCAGCTGCCAGAGCTGATGTTTCATGGGTTTCCTGCATAGTATCAGGTACTTTATGACAAGGTGTTCCTCCCTCTTCCTGCTCCTCTTGGACGCTCGCTGCAGGTCGACTCCATTTTATTTGCCGAGTTCCAGGCCTGGAAGGAATCTCCAACTTTGGACAAATCCTGCTCCTTCCTGGACAGAATTTACCGAGAAGATGTAGGACCTTGTCTGGACTTCACCAAGCAGGAGGTGAGTGCTGGAGAAGCAGGAGCAGCTGGCAGCTCTGGAGTGTTACCCTCCTGGAATTCATTTCTGCTCTCCCTTGTTTTGCTGCAGCTGTCGGAGCTGGTGCGAGAGGCAGTGGAGCAGAACACCCTCACCATCGAGCCAGTGGCTTCCCAGGCTGTCCCTGTGGGGAAGGTGGCAGCAGAAGAGTGTGGTGGCCCCAAGTAAGGACCGTGTCTCCCTGCTTTGTCCCCTCCTTGCTGCTGGTTTGTCCCCTGTCATGGAGTGGCGTGACAGGCAGCCTGGGGCCACCTCCCACTAGTGGGAATGATGTGATATTCCAAACAAGGAGGAGGGATTTTATTCAGTTATTAAATTTAAGTCCTTTCTTACCTTCTGAGGTGTCCCTGTGACAGAAGGGACGTGCAGGTTTCCTACCACTTTCCTGCAAATTATTCCCCAAACGACCCATCCTGTGTTTATTGGTTTCCTTTTGATTTTTTAAATTTTTTTTTGTCTTCACAGTGGCTTCCGGTCACAAATCGTAACGTAAGTGAAATATTTATTGTTCAGCTAGTGATCAAAGGTCTCTGGAGCATTAACAAGTCACTAACTCAGCGCCATGTGGCTGCTTGGAGGTTTTTGCTCAGCTGACCTAACCCTTTAACTCTGTCTAAATTCCACCCAGGCAGGATGGGAAGGAGCCCATCGGCAATAAAAGACCCAAAAGGAATTTGTTCCCTTTTTTTCCCAGATGCAAACCACTGATTTTTATGACAATTATGGTTTGTTTGATTGTGATAGCTGTGGTTTTACACCAAGTGGTACCAATCAAGCAAGAGTCACTCTTTTCCAGGATGTTGCAATGCTCAAATATGTGGCTCCTTACAAGTATCTTGTTTACAAAGTTTTTGGTCATCCTGCACCTCTTGGGAATTCAGTCTCCTTAGGTTGTGTTAATATTTGGTAAATGATTACTTCTCCTTGCATCTGGACACTTGGAACCCGTGCTTCCACTCTTGGCTAATGTTTGCCTTGAGAGCAGTGGAAAACAAGCCCAGGGACAAGCTCAGGAGCTCTCTGAAAGATCTGCTCCCCTCTGCTGTCACCTCCTGTGGCTCCCCAGAGAAGAGTTTTTGCAGTTTGGGTGTGATGCTCCTCTTCCTCCTGAGTCCCTGAGGAACATGGTGATAACTGTGCACTAGCAAATTCTGCTTTATTGCTTTAAGTGGTGATGGGAATCATCTGCCTTGCAAATAGCAGGAGAAGAGGGAAGAAAATAAAGGAATGCTGTACCCCTTGCTGATGATTGTATGGAAAAGACTGTTTTCACCCTCTGAAATCTCAAAATTGGGAAGCCAAGCTCCTTTCCTGTCTGCCCAAGGAGGGGTTGGCTTGTTTTGAGTTCTTGGTATGTGCAAATCCTGCTCAGATGCTGGATTTACCTGTTTTGAGGCCAGCTTTGGTGCCCAGCCAGCGTGTTTACATCTCACCAGGAAAGCTGATACACCTGAGCCTGCCCTGGAATGTGGGGGACATGTGCAGAGACCAGGGGACTTTGAGGCTCTGCTCCAGCCTCACCTCTTTAATATTTCCTGTGGTTTCCTCTGGGGCTGTGTGTCAGGGAAAAGGTGCTTTCATCTAAAGTCTCCTAAACTTGCCATTTATGGAATATTTCCAGGAGCAAAAGAATATCAGCCAAGGTTTTTTTTTTTCCTTTTTCATGCTGTCTGACCCAGGGGTGGCTTCTGATCTCTCACTTCCATCTCCAGGTGGCTCAATTGCTGGATCTGTGCTGTGCCACTGGATTGCTGAAGTGCTTTTCCCTTTTCCTGCAGGAAATGTGCTCTGAGTGGCCTCCCCAGGACCTGCAAGCACCGGATCATGCTGGGGGATTCTGGGAATTACTACTACATTTCCCCTTCCTGCAGGGCCAGGGTGAGTCCTTCACCTCAGTGAAGGTCAAGGTCAGTGCCTTGACCTTCCCACATCATTCCATGCCCTGCAGTGGGCGAGTTCCTGAGGGTCAGCCCTGGAATTGAGGAAAAACTGAGATTTGAGGTCATTCTTGAGGTTGAGGTGTCTCTTAGTTGGTGATTAGGGGGCAGATCCAGCTCTTCCTTCTGCTGTCAGATAACCTTCAGTGTGTTCACTTGCCATGATTTCATTCAGTACAGAGCTTTGATTGTTTGGCTTTATTGTTATTATTTAATTCCCCTTTGTAAAACACAATCATTTTCTGCTCTTTGGAGGCTGTTGCTGTTCCAGTCTGATCTGTGCCTGGCTGTGGGAACAAACTGTCCCTTCTGTGGAGGGGAGGGAGAAGGTGGATCATTTGTTAATGTTGCTGTTGGGGCTCTTGTTCAGTGGAGGATTTTAGAAGTTAATTCTTTCTTGAGCTGCATTTTTGAAGAGCTGATCCCACAAAAAGTTGGTTTTTGTGCACGGATTTGACTCATTTTTGCCACTTGCACCAAAGTAATGTCTAAAATCTTTGTTCCTTTTTTTCCCCCCTCTTTCTCTCTGTCACCCAGATCACAGCAGTGTGCAACTTCTTCACCTACATCCGCTACATCCAGCAAGGCCTGGTGAGGCAGGATGGTAAGAGCTGGCTCCAGGGGGATGCTTTCTGTGGAGGCAGCTGGGAGGAATTGGGAGGAGCTGTTTGGAGTGGCAGGAGTGGGGTTGGCTGGGGGTGTCTCTGAGAAGCAGATAAGTGACAAAAGAGAGGCATGAGGGGAGCATCTCTTCCTTCCTTATCAGCTTCCTGGGAGCTTTGCTCAGGGGTGGAGCTGCTAAGGGGTGTCCTGATGGGCCTGTGCTGCTTCCCTCCACTCCGGGAATGCTGGGAGCACAGCAGAGCAGGAGCTGGTGGCCAGCTGTGCCCTCCTTACTGATTTTTTGGTGATTTTTTTCCCCTTTTCTGTCCCCGTTGTGCTTTGCAGTGGAGCTGATGTACTGGGAGGTCATGCGGCTCCGGAGGGAGATGTCTCTGGCCAAACTTGGATTTTATCCCAGCGAGATGTAAGCAGAGCCCTGGGTGTGGAGGAAACTGTTCCTGGAGGAAGGGCTTGGAGTGCAGTGCCTGTCCTGCTCCCTCCCTCCCTCCCTTCCCTGTGCCTGGAGCAAGGAACAAGAGGCACAAGTTTCACCTTCAGCTGTCCCACTCCTCCAAGTGTGACTGGAATGCAGCTGCCACGCTGCCCCTGGAGCTGGGCTGGCCCTGGCTGCTCCAGGATGGCCATCCATGGACTCTGGAGTCTCCTATATGCAGTGTATATCCATATTTTTTAACCTTTTGTTTTTATATGCAGCCTGCTTTGGCATAACCCGAGGCCAGGCCTGTGCAGGGTGGGAATTCTGGACCTTCCTTGTGAGCCAGTCTGTCAGGACAGATGCTGGCTGTCTGTTCCACTCGTTTTTTTGGGATGGAGGGGGTGCTGTCCCTGAGGTCCTGCTGACCACAACAGCCCTGAAAATGCCAGCAGAGCACAATAATCTTGAACAGTTTGTTTCCAAGTACTTCCTTGTTCCTTTTCAAGGAGCCTGCGAGAGAAGCTTGTTGCCAGCGGAGTCACAAAGAGGGATTTGTTCCTGTTTTTAGCTGGATGTTTGGCACTGGGTTGTGCAGGCTGGGGAATGGCTGGAGCTGTGCACCTGGGGCCTTCAGCAGAAGAAAGGGAGCAGAGAAATTCCCTAGCTCCCAGCAAGCTGCAGGATTTTTTCCCCTGGACTAGGGAATCTGCTGGAGTTGTCAGAGGCAGATGCAGTGACAGTCCCTGGTGTGAAGTCCCCCATGATGCTCCTAAACACAAACCTCTCTGACAAACAAGTCTTGGAGCTGTTCCTGCTCTTGAGGGAGCTTTGGGCAGTCCTGTTCTCACTCTTCAGGCAGAACCCTTGCCCCAGGTTGGGTTCTTTGTGTCTCCAGGAGGAGCATGCCCAGGCTGAGCAGTCCCAAGGCCCAGAGATTCCTTCCCAGTGTTACACCAGACCTAGAGATGCCTGTCCACTGGGAATCACAACTTTTCCTGGGCTGCCATTCCCTGGTGAGGGAATCTGAGACCTCTTTGTGTGCAATGAGGAATGTGGCTGAGGTTCCTGCCTGCCCTACAATGTGCTGTGAGGGAGAAATGTCACTGGAGCTGTAGGAATGCACAGGCCTGACTCATCCTGAGCCCAGACCCAGGTTGATTAAAGCCATGACAGTATTTTGTAGCCTTTTTTCTGTGACTCTGGAATCAGCTCAGCCATCACCCACTCTGGGGTTTCCATTTCTGACAGGGTTGTCACCCTGTCCCCCTGCCACCCTCAGCTCCATAATTCCATCCTCTCCTGAAGGACATTACAGGAGGAACTCAATTTTCTTCCACTGAGCTGCTGGATTTTGTCTAGGGGAGAGAGAAATAACACAGCTTTGGTTTCCCCAGCTGTGGATTTCAGCTCAGGTGAATTCCACCCCTGGAATTTCTCCCTGCATCTCTTCCCCCATCCTTTCTAATCTCTCCATGTCTTCCTGTGCCGTGAGCTGCTACACTGCACAAACGTTGCAGCACTGGGAATGAGATGATCTCACTGGCTAGGAGATGTTTTGGTTTGTGGGATATTTTTTCCCCCTTGGTGTCACATTGAAAAGCACTTTGAGACAGAAGGAACTGAAGCAATGCCTTGTCTGAGGTTGTCTTGCATTTCAAAGCAGGGAACAATTTGTGAAGGAAAATGAAGTCACTCCCTTTGCAGCGGGATGGTTGCACCCTGCTCTTTCATAAAGGAAAATAAACATTTGCTATTAACCTCTACAAGCCTGGTTGGAGTTGGAGGGTTGGGGTGCAAGAGAAAATCCTACAGGATGGGGTTTGGGGTGCTTTTATTCATCAGAGCAGGTACCTGTTCTTCCTGAGGGAGGCTGAGGCTTCTCCTGCTCCTGGAGGTTGTGTCTCCTTTAAATTGCTGCTTGAAGCACTGCACGGGTGCTGGGTAATTGGAAGATCTTCTTCCTTCCTCTTTCCTGATCAGTCTCCCCCTTCTCCTCTCAGCAGGCAGAGGTTTTGGGTTGCTCTGGTTTCGCTAAAACCTTTTGCTCTCCTCCCTGCTCGGCTCTGCACATGAACATGGAAGATCTCCTCATCCCCTCTGAGAGATGACAGTGGGAGAGCTGTGTGCAGAAAGGGATTTAACTTCATTTTCAATTAAAAAGCCACGCAAGAATCTGGTTGTGCAGCACAGTCAGGCAGCCACGAGAGGGCACAGGCAGCCCAGGCAGAGACTGTCCTCCCTCCCTCATTCCCTCCCTGGGAGAATGGAGCATCTCCAGGTCCCACCCCTCCTCACCCTCCCTGCAGCCTCTTGACAGGAAAACATTCCTGCAGCTTCCCTGCGCTGCTGGGAGAGGGAATTGGGCAGCTGGAGAGTGGAAAGGAAAGGAAGGATTTAGATTTCTGTAAGGGATGGTCAGGTGAGACACTGGGAATGCTTTCCTGTGTCTGGGTCTTTCAGTGGAATGTCAGCAAGGATTGCTGTCTGAAACTTCCCTGTGACATTAGCACCTAACCTTCCAAGGTATGAGAAGACATCATGTCCCCTATTCCCAGCCTTTTCCACCAAAACTTTCCTGCTCTTTTTCCCCTCATAAATCAACCGGGGTTTGAGCAGAGTCTCTGGGTCCTCTGGTACCTTCTGCAATCTTCCTTGCACCTATTTGCACCCACAAAGGGTCTGCCAGCCTGTCCTGGGCTGAAATAAAGAGCTCCAAAGGGATGGGAGTTAAAAAATCTGCCTTTATAGATGTGTTTGACTTGCTTGATTTTGTTTTCATCCCTGTTTCCCTCAAGTTTGGGAGAGAAAAGGGACATTTGGATGATGGTGGAGGTTAGTGTTGTGCACAATGAGGTGCTTCTAAGCATTTGGATATTACTATTTGAGAATCTGGGATTTAGACCACAGAGGTTTGGTTGCCCCTGGAAGTTCCCTGTGTCTGCTGGCTGCGTCCTTTCCCTGCCTGTGGAATTACTCCAAGTTTGCTCAGGGCTGTAAATCAGGCTGTCTTTGTGCAGCTGGTCAGGCTGTCCCCACACGCCCACACACAGAGATGGATGGTTCCTGTTCCCAGGAACCAACAAATGAAAGATTTTCATTTTTTTATTATTTGCTCCAGGTGCAATCAAAGAAAAGAGCAGCTGGCCTCGGAAAAGTCAGGACTTCCCATGCTTTCCTGACCGTCCTGTAGGATGAATCCATCAAAGCAGAGAGGATTCCCTGCAGAACAGGCAGCTCTGGGCCAGCCATGGGGAAATTCCAGTCATTTTGGACATTCAGGGAGTGTGGCCCTGCCAAGAAAAAGTCAGATGTCCTGGCACAACTCTCAGTGTGCACGTGGCACCCACGGCTGGGGCTGGCCAGCTCTGCCAAGGCAACCCGTTCCTAATAGGAGCAAATCCCTGTGGTGCCACCAGTGCTGGGAGCCAAGGGGTCAGGTTTGCTGTTTGTCATGTCAATACTCCCATGTTTGTGCAAGGCTCACTGGGCTGAGCTGGAAAGTTGACTTTAGCCAGGCTGAGAAGGCAGCTGGACTTTGTGCTGGTTTATATAACTTCCAGAGAATGTTTCACCTCCTTTGGGAGTGGATTAGGAGGGAATGGGAACGTAGAGAGAATGAGACTCAGCCTAGTTGTGGGCTGGATGTGATGGGAAGAAGGGAAAATGGCTTTGGAATGGCCTTAAGATGAAGGAGGGTAGATTTGGATGAGATATAGGAAGAAATCCTTCCCTGTGAGGGTGCTGAGGCCCTGGCACAGGGTGCCCAGAGAAGCTGTGGCTTCCCCTGGATCCCTGGAAGTGTCCAAGGCCAGGTTGGATGGGGCTGTGAGCAGCCTGGGACAGTGGCAGGTGTCCCTGCTCTTGGCAGGGGTTTGGAATGAGATGGGCTTTGAGATCCCTTCCAACCCAAACCATTCTGGGATTCTGTGATAGATCTGAGCTGCCAGTGGTGCCCTGGCTCAGGAGATGAGATAGCACTGGCTGGAGTGATGGAGCAGAGGGACAGCAGGGAAGGTTTGGGAAAGAAGAGGCACTCCTTAGCTTTTGTTTGGCTTAATCTTGAAATGATTCCCCTTGTAGGAGAAAACACAGCTGCACAGGAAAAGCTGAGCCACTGATACAAATCTGGTTATTTAGAAGTGACTCCAGTGATGGAAAAGCCATTTGTGCAGAAGTAGAATCCCAAAACAGCTCCCCATGGGACTGTGCCAGAGAGGGGAGCTGGGAGAAAGAAGCTGAAGGTGGAGGTGTTCCCCAGGAAGCTTTGCAGTGCAAACCCCAGCACTCAGTCCTGTCCTGCTCACAGAGCTTCCAGGGATATCCCTGTGAGCACACAGAACATCCTGAGCTTTTAACTCTGCTAATGCTTCTGCTTTCTGCTCCCTCTCTGGTTCTGGGGCTGCAGGCTTCCCTCTGGCAGATGGAGCCATGGGATTGGCTCGAGGACAGCTCCCTGCCCTTAATTCCCGTGGCTCACTGTGCTAATTCTGCTCTGTTAATCACCTTAGAGTCAATTTAAGGTGCTTCATGCCAAAGGACACTTATGTGGGTCACAGCTCAGTGACACCTTTGCTCTTTCTGCATCAGCACCTGGACAGAGGTGACTTGTCCCTTGCCTTTGGTGACATTCCCCTTTGTCAGGTCACCTGTGTCATCTGGCAAAACCAGGAGGAAGGAGGGAAGCACCAATCCAACTTTCCATCAAACAGAGGGCAGTGATAAATAATGTCTCAGGAGAGCTGGAGCGGCGTCTGATGGTCCCACAGTGTTTTCAGACAAGGGAAGTTTTGCATCCACCCCAAAATCTTGGCACCTCTGGCAGACATTAGTCCTTAATAGGAGAGGGAAACTGGGTTCCAAATCTGATTAATTGGGTTCCAAATCTGATTAATTTCACACTGGAATGATGTGTATGTGGAGAACACCTCATGGGCTGTGTTTGAGTATGCCTGAACCCAACTGAGTTGCGAAAACCCAAAAAACCATTTTTCTGTTGTCAGCAGTTGGGTGTCGCTACTTTCTCCTCACTGTGCTGGTTTCAAAAGCCTGGTTTTACACATTCAAAAACACAAATGAGTTAAACCCTCTCTCTTACTGCAGCACATGGGACTCATCCCTGTGCCAACACTACCACATCCAGCAGAGCTTCTCTGAAACCATTTACTAAATATTTCAATAGAGACCTTTCAAACTGTTCTTCTCTGTTTAGAGAGACATTGCAGAAAGGAAATTGCTTCTTAATCTGTCCTCTGTTTTGTGTTTGATTCATTTGTGCATCATGGGGCAGAGCAGGCTCAACGTCTTTTTGCTTTTAATTCTTTATTTTGTTCTATGCAGACAGAAATGTTCCCAGGGAATGGTTCGGGCTTGAAGGGATCTCTAAAGATCATCCAGCTCCTGACTTGCCCAGAAGCTCCTGCTGCACCATTCAAGCCCAGACATCCTGTTTCTGTGGAGCTGTTGATTTTCTGCAGGGATGAGGAGTCATGGTGCTGGAATGCTGCTGGAGCACCGTGGCTTCACCATTCCTTGCCCTCTAGTGCTGTTGGACTCCGTTTCACTCGCATACCTTCACCAAATCAGGTGCTCAGTTTTAGACTCGGTGCGCTCCAGCATGATGGGGAGACAAGAATGAGCAAGGCATGGAATTGGAATTGGCAGCAGCGCTCTGATTTCTGGTCACACTTTATTTCTCCCTCCCCAGGCTGTGCTGCTTTGACAGGCTGTGCTGCTTTTCTCCATTTGGGGTTGTGAGTGTGGCCTGAAGGTTTGTGGATTTGCAAAGGGTGATAATTTCAGCTCTGAGTGATTTACCTAGAGATGCTGGACCAGGAACTGGCCCCAGCTGAGAAACCAGCAACATCTTCAGCTCAGAACCCAAACTTCCAGGTTTTATTAGGCATCTGTCAGCAATAAGGGAACAAAACACAGATAAAGTGCAATATGGCTCGTATATTTTATAGAAAAACCAACTGCTGCTTAAGGCCAGGCCAATTGAGGCCAATTAAATTAATCAGGCAAGTGAACCAGCCACACCCGTTCTGAGGAGGATGGGTGCAATCACAGGCAATTACCGTGATTAATCCTCTCATTGTCAGCCCCACAGCCAGCACCTGGCCAAGAAGTTGGGGAGTTACCTAACTGTGCTCAGGAGGATGCTGCAGGCGAAGGTGGTGCTTCCAGGTGAGGATCCTTCTGCTTGGCCTTTTCCCACTCCTTTCTCGAATTTCTGCTGAGCCTCCCTTGACCTGAGCAGCCTGGGCTTGACCTTCAAACCTCAGAGGCTGGCAGGAGGTGGAAAAGCTCTGACACAGGGTATGTTAGAACACATCATCTTCATTCACCCCAGTGAAACTTACATTTGTACTCTCCAACCTCTGTGGAGGGTAGATAACATCTTTATTTTTATTTTATGGTATTATTTATATAATTTATACTTATTTTATTGTATTTTGTGTTCTGCTATGGGGGAATTATTCACCTCCTGGCTCACTCTGAAATTCTGGATTATTACCTTCATACTCTTTACATCATGGTTTCCAAATGAATAAGTGTGTGGCTGGAAATGTGAACAGAATATTCACCTTACAGCAGCTCCAACAATGCCCTGTTCTATAGAAACTCCAGGACAGAGGGATGGTGTAGGGAAGACTCAATGTGGAAGGTTTTCTATTTGTGATATTTGAGGAATTTAGGCTAATTTTTCAATAAAATATATATGATAACATGATATAACCCAGCACAAACACTGGAAAAAAAAT